GGTAGCTGCCAAACTTTTCAACTAAAAGTTTTTGCCAAATGAGCACGACGTCGATTTATACACTTCCTATTAGACATTCGCTAATCACGAATAATTGCTGGTACTCGACATTCGTTAAGTTTTAATAAATTGCTATCTACTTTGTGAAATAATTTTGTTTTTATGCAGATACTATTATTATAAGTCTCATTAAATATTATATTTTTAGTACTTATCGAATTTAATTTACAGTAAATGCATTAATACGTCATGCACTTTGTAGTCTAATTGAAGCAATGTACGGCTACTCCTTGATGATTTCATATTCATGAGTAACATGAACTCAGAACTTAAACTTATATTAAGTGTATAATATATTTTATGAATTTTTCCAACCTCCCAAACATAAAAGTATAAAATACTAATCGTATAAAATCAAAATGTACATATACTCATCCAATATTTAATTAATTATTAATTCTAACGTTGAATAAACTTTATTCTAGGTACCTATACAAAAAATAAGGTACGCATACTTAACCTTAAAATGTCACGTGGGTACTACTGTACTAGATATAGTAGTGGGGAGATGGTAAACTGCGGAAATTAATTTTAAATATCTGCTATGTACTATATGTCTATATATGTACCTACATACCGATAAAATAACATAAATTATTAAGTAACCTAAATCATAATATGTACCTCTGTGTTATTATGTAAATATAATTATTATATTATAATTATTTTCGTTGTACTCGCATAAGACAAATTTTGCCCTGCATGTTTTATTCCCCGTGTTTCATAATCACTAATCATTTATTCATATTTAAATTTAAATTTAAAATTGAGCTATTAATTGTTTGCCATTCGACTAAACGTTGTTGTAAATCCCATGTTGAATAATAAACTTTTTAAATTACTTCTACCGACTTCTTAACTCTAATAAGTAGGACAAGTAGGTATTAAATAGTATTATCACAAGTAAAAGACCGATATTTAATATGTTTAGTTAAGACTTAAAAATACATTTGGATTTACCTTACCAACTTCCTACACATCATAAGTCATAACATAATTAATAATTAAACGATGATTTAGGTACCTATATAATCTATGTTATCGTATCGATATGTGTATATACAGTATACACTATATACAGTATAAAGAAAGTATATAAAATAAATTTCTCCAGTTTGTATAATGTATCTTATCGGTTTTATCGTAGATTGTGTTAAATTTTTTTTCCACTATTTACCTGTATGTAAACTCTAATATACCTATCGTGTTTTCGTATGCAATTTAAGTATATACCAATATATATTGTGTAGTATTACACACAACATATTATTAATTCATAAATAATTTGTCAGATATATCCAATGATTATCAATTGCCTATATCACTGTGTATATAGGTGTATAATATAACGTAATAATATACTTCAAACGTTTCAAGTACCCACGAATAATAAAATAACAAAAGAACTAAGATCTTTGCTTTTCGTTTAAACATAGAATTTTGTCCAGATTTGAACTTAAAAATTAATATAATATCCAAAAAAAATGTGTTCATTTATTTTTTGATTACAGTATGAAACTATACATGAACTACTCTTGATACTCATGAGAAACGTTCTTTTAAATTTTTAGTTATTAGCTGTACACATTTAAAAATGTATATATTTTTTACAATAAAATATAATTTTCAAATTTTAGTGATTTTGACTAATTTTGTCAACATTTGAACTTCAAACTCTGGTAAAACAAATTCTTACAAAGGTTATTAATTTTGTTCTATTTTATAACATCTTATAAAGAACGTTGTATTACATTTTAAAACTATTTGTATTTGACCCAGTGAAAAATTATTTTATTGCATCAAATAACAAATAATATTGGTACCTATGGAGTTGTGACTTATGGCAAAAACTTTCTAGTCCTACAAAATATTATTTTTAGAATTATTACATGGAAAAACGAATGAAGCGCTTAGCACATTAAATGTTTAACCTTCTTTTATTCATAAACAAAAATGTTTTAAAATACCGGGACACCCGTCTTAATATGTAGGTAGCGTAAGACAGCTGGCTAAGTCGAAGGAAACTTAAAGAATCCCAAGACCGCCAGAAGTTGTCCTAATTGTGGTAAAAGTTTAAATAAATATATTATTCAGCTTAAAACATTATAAAATATAAATATATAGTTTCTCATACAAATAATTTACATATTTTCGTGATTTTGACGTTGTTTTCTGTTAGAAGAAATATTTATTTTCGAGATTTCCAAGATTTTGAAGAATATTTCTTAAAAACTCTAACTTTTGACACTTGTAATCAAATATTGTGACTATGTAATTTTCAATTTTGTTAAATTAGTCTATAAGAACATTTTATAAGGAACCTTGTATTGAATTTTCAAATCGTAGGTATGATTATTAACAAATATTTAAAAATTTTTAACTACAAGATAATTAACCAATGTCCCCAATTGTTGAGAATCATGTCAGTTTTAGTTTGAAACGCTTATAAAAGAATGCACTGATTTTGTATTTTTTATATTTTTTAATTGGTATATAAACAATATGAGTGGAAATTTATACAAAATATACAAGCTTTTTGACCAAGCAATATTTTTTTTTCATTGATATTTTAATATTAATAGTGAAAATACAAAAAAAAATGGTAATATTGAACTTGTTTGAAAAATTAATGTGACTTCAAGTTGAACTTTTTTTTGCTAAAGGAAAAAAACTTTGAAGGAATGTTGTATTTTATTTTAAATCTTAGATATAAAAAGAAAAAATTATGAATTGCTAACTCAATATATTTTGCGAATCTTAATGATTTTGAAGAATTTCGTAACAATTTACTTTAAATGTTCATAATAAATTATTATAAATTTAAGCTCCTCTATTTTATTTTTTATTTCACTAATATTAAGGCATAAGGAACCTTGTATTAAATTTTGACATTTTTTACCAAAAGAAACATCTTTAATAATAATTTTAAAAACATTTAATTTCTCAATCTTATAAATAGCTCAAACATAGTCAAAATATTTTTAAAACTTTATCATGCGTTTTAAAAGCCCATATAAATATTTTTCAAACACGATAGTATCTACAGTTTTACATTTTTGAGCTATACTTTATAAAAAAAACAAATTTGATTTTATTTAAAACTAGTTTTTCATAAACATTTTTACTTACGTTTTATGTTTTTTCTTGATTGTTTTTGTTTGTTTTACCCTACACTTGAAAAACTAAACTAAAGTAGAAAATTGAATCATTTTTATTGCCCCAAAAGGTGATGACAATCGGAAAAATAACATACATCACTCAGCTCAGAATTTAAAATGTGTGCTGTCATTCAATACAGTAAGAACTTAGAAAACTTAAAACAATAATAGTGAACGGAAAAACAATTTTTTCAAAAATGTTGTAAATTCAAGGCTTTCAGATTTCGTAAAAGAAATGTTTTCAAAAACTTAATACTTTCTAAGATAATGAATGACTACTGATACAATAATTACTCTGTGTACAGCAAGTAGGTATAACTACCTCATAGAGTTTAGTAACTACATTTTATGCGACCCCTCTCCTAGTTGTTCAATCATATTTTAGTTTGAAATATTAACTATACATTTCTGTGCTGCTGATACGATTTCAGCTCTCCCCCCAAAAAAATGTCCCCAGTGGCACCTAGACCTATTTAGATTATGATAGTAAGACAGAAAGTATATTATAGTCCATTTTGTCCCGGTTATAATCAAAAACTAAATATTATTTCTCAACGAATTTCAATTTTCTTTTGATGTTATTTATTTGTTCTATGGCACCTTAACTTTCAAAGCTTTAATAACTCTATATCCGCATTGGTATAAAGTTTAAGACATTATATAAGAAACTCTTTTAAGTTTCAGATACCTACTTGAAACACATTGTTCATATTGTGCACCTATGGTTCAATAATATTACGAATATAGACATGACAGTAGTATTTATAAATATATGTCTCTCACATGTGCAGGAGACCATTAAAATCAATACGTATAAGTTCACTGCACAGATTACAATACTCATATTATACCATATGGACATACGGTGTTATAAGTACAATGATGCCAAATTCTTTTAAGATTTCAACATTGTCTTATTATGAAAATGTAACAAATAATATTTCATGGATTATAAAAACACTTTTAAGAACAAGACCTATATATTTGAAATATTACTTTTTAAATTGATGACAAAAATAATTTAGAGATACTTAGTCTTAGGTATTTCATTTTATCCATTTGCATTTTAATATGTTAGGCACAATAAGACACATACATAGAAATGTGTAATTGTATTTATAATAGAGAAACATCTTTTATTATTAACCAAATATGGAAAGTAAATAATAGTTTTCACGTTCAATTTTTTTACAGGGTGATTCACCAAACATAATTAACCCCATTTTTTCCTTTTTCTTTTCCAAATTTTTCAAATCCCGTTTTTTTGATTTTTTTAAATATACTCAAAGACAATTTTTTTAAATTCTTGACTTTTTTTTACTACTTAAAGAGTCTACTGTGGCGATACAAACTTCTGTTTTTCAAACTAGAACCCCCATTTTTAGTATGATCATTTTAGTGAATAATGTTGAAAATGTTGATGTACCTAATTCAAAATTCGAATGGGTAGTTACTAGTTACTTAGTTATTATAAGGTACTAAGGATCATAGTTCTTTAAAATTGTTTTACAAAAACATAAAATAGACATAATATTGAAATTCGTATTTATTATACTTGGGCCACATTTAAAAATTATTAATGTTGATAGATTAATATTAATGATTAACATTTTCAAATCACTTTAGCCCCCTGGGTCTTATAAGCCCTTACCATTGACTTTTTATTTTTAGAACACAATGTTAAATAACTCCAAGACTACTCTTGTGAATTTTTATCCTGATACTTCAAAATTTTCAAAAAAATTATTCACAATTCAAAAGTGAGGTTATCATTTTTAAAACATAAGTTTGTATCTCGACAGGACACTTCTTAAGCGGTACAAAAGTCTCATGAACTTGAAAATATGGTCTTCAGTATTTTTAAAATTAAAAAAATCAGATTTTAAATAACTGCATTATTGATGAAAAAAGGGGTGAACATGCTTAATGGACCACTCTGTATGTAAGTAAAAAATTAAATTTGAGTGCATTAAATTTACAAAATAATTCTTTACAAAACTCATAGGTCATAATATGTATTACATTTTTTAAAACAAGTGTTCATGTAATTTAAACCCAAAGTTTTTATTTTATAACAAAATAAGAAAGATAGACACTAACCAGGTTACTAAACAGTTAAAATTAAGTCAAAACGTCAATTTTATTATATTAAGTGTAAATTGCTTGACTAAAATTAACTTATTGGAAATAAAATAAATAATTTATTATTAATTATTAACAATTGGTAATCACAAAAATTATGTTAGACAGTGTTTTAGATTATAGAAGTTGTATTCATTTCGAAGATTGACATTATTCGAAAATTGTATACATACAACTGTTGTACCTAAAGTCTTTATAAAAATGAATAACATCGTAATATTATAGAATAATAAAATAACAATTTATGAACATTAAATATTAGTTAAAATTACTATAATTCCTGACTGTAACAATTGTTATTTTTTTTAGTGATGTAAAATTTAAACTAAATACGATACATCATATAAATACCGTATAAACATTAAACATTACCAATACCTGTATAGTTTTGAGTTGGTAAAAAATAAAAAAAAATATAAAGTGTATAAATATATTAAAAATATAATATAATATATTTTTATATATAAAGTGCCTTTATATATAAAAATAAAATTATGTATTTACCTACTTTCAATTGAACTAAGTTTACCAAAAATTAAATCAACTTTCAACTATTAACTTTTTCTTATTAGCAATAGTGTATTACTATTAACTTAACTTAACTAAGGTCGAAAAAATCATTAACTCATTTCCAAACTCTAACACCTATACATTTTTAAATTTAACTTCAGGAAAAACCTTAATCTAAGACTATTATCTTATATCACTTATAGATTAATATATCTAATAAAGTAATAACACTAAATAACAATATAACAATATGATTTATCCGTGGTTAAACGTTTTAAAATAAACGTTGTTAAAATTATGTTTCCCTCGGAAATTCAACTCACAATGAATGCGTTTGGTTCTCAAAACCAAAACCCTCGTGAAATCAATACTTGTGAAGTGGGGAATAGTAAATGATTTTGGTAAAGTCGTGATTGGACTGTTGCAGTGGTCTCTGGACCTGTTTTAAAACAAATTCTATTTAGATAGTAACTATTATTTATTAAATTGACTGATTTATGGGGGTAGGTATACATTAAATACAATTAATTATCATTATAGTGAGGAAGGTATATTAGACAGGAAAACTTTTTAAATATCACGAAAATCTGTTATTTTTATCTTAATACGGGTGCTCAACTTTTCTTTTATCCAGTCTTTTTATACGTGATATTATATATATATATATATATATATAAACGTTAAGTGGACTTTCTAATCGCTATCTACTTATTCTGAACCCTCCAGCATCACGAATTCGTGTACCGGGGACGATATCGTGGGACAATGGTTGAGTAAAAGGGGAGTAAGAGCAGGTGACCCATAATATTATATAGGACGTGGCCAAGTACCGGGCGCAGACAACCACGACTGGCAACCCGCATATATATATAGCCATTCTGTTAGACTATCGATCGTTTATTTAACATATATATATATAATAATAATAATAATAATACCGTTAAACACGTCGTCTTGTCCGACAACGGTCACACGCGCGAGAGAACAGCTACATAGTTAGTGTACACGCACCGACCACGGACGTGACTCCAAAACCACCGGCTATTGTTTACACATCCTAGTCGGCACAGTATGTGTATACAAGGTGATTCTTTTATCTCTGAACAGTAATATTCTTGGTAAATTCAAGTGTATTTGAAAATATTTTAGTATAATTTATACTCAATAAATTGGTAGTGTAAAAATTTAAATTTTTAACGTTATTATTTTCCGAGTTAGTAAAAAAGTGCTTTCAAAAACATGTAAGTAAATTTACCAGGAAAATAACAGTTTTTTGTTAAGAGAATCACTCTGTAGAATGTAGATATATAATAGGTATAATAATACATGTATACTGTATACTGTATAGTATAATATTATACGACTATGATGGGTGTTTCCCTTTTTCGCCATACCAGATAACCGCGGTCGATTCACTTTTCTACCAGTATGAAACTGAACGGTTCACTTTTCCTCCAGTGAACATTTATAAAATAAAATATAAAATTACGTAATAGCATGTAGGGACCTATTATAACATAGCTTTTGAATTAAACTTTCTGTAATATTTTGTATAATAGAACCAAATACCAATATTATATACTATTTAATGAAATAATTATTGATACCTAAAAATTATAATGTTGGTTTTTCTTTTATGTTTATAATCTTTAAGTAATCCTATCACCTTGTCCTTACCATGTTCTTAGTAGCAAAAAATATTTAAGCATTGTCAAAAAATGTTTACACTTTCTCGTGTTTTTTGTGTGACTCACACGCCTAAAACTAAACCACGACCACTCAAAATTTGATATAATATTGCTTTCAGATTTCAGGTCCCTCGTTTAAAAATATGTCTAAATATAATGCAAGGACGCTCTATTAAATATAATTTTCCATTAGGCCACCAAAAAGATCAGCCAGTATTTGACTTTTAAACGTAGGTAGGTATAGCTGAATATTAAAGCAACACAGTTCAAAACAATTTTTTTCAAAAATATAGACTTCATGAAGAAAAACTGCTAAACATCGCTCTGATTCACGAAACACCAATTTTACATACAATTAAATGTGCCTTATAATTCAAAATATTTTTGAATATTAGAAATGTTAAGCTTATACATATGATTTATATACTTTTGTAAAAATACAATTGCTTTTTAAAAACATAAATTGCGAATTCAAAATATTAAAATTGTATTTGCATTATTTTAATTTCTGTATTTTCAATTAACTCTTATTCATAATTATTTTTTTATTAAGTCATTGTTATATTGCTTTTAATTGTTATTTATAACTATTAACTAGACATAGGATCTTGCTTCTTTATGACTTTTGCAATTTTGTTTGTCTTTTGATCCCATACATTACAATATTGCTATCTCAACTAAAAACTAGTTTCATGGTATCTAGATTCAGAATATTCTAATTTAATTTTGTACTTTTTTTTTTTGCATTTTTAACTTTAAATTCATTTTTTTTTTTTTAAACATATATTAATATAATAATATAATATATTTTCTTTTTAAATAAAAAACTAGTTTTATCAAAAAAAATATATTTAAATGAATTTATTTTAAATCATATTCATTAATACTCTTATTGCAACTAACATAGTAACACCCTGGTATAAAATAGTATAAATCATACAAGTTTATCAAATCTATTTTAATAAAACCATAAAATGATGTTCTTTTAAATTATATTTTAAAGTAATATTAATTTATATTTAAATGAGGTTCAGCATCTTAAAGAAAAAGTAATTTATAAGACATCATACTGGTGGAAAAGGGAAATGTCGATTTTGTAATCACCTCAATAAGAGGTAACGTCCCCACTTCGCTTTATTCAGTATTACCTAACAATAACAATATTAAACATTTTACAATGAAAAGTGATTTCGTAAGACGCTAAGACTTGCTTTCTGGATATTATTAACTAGATAGATTTTTGTTGTGATTTTTAAGTTTATTTTATTTTAGGCTTTAGCAAAATGTATAGGTATATTTAATAGTTGATTCGATTGTTGAGATGTATAATATTATCTATATATTAGAGTTTATCAAAAATAAAAATAATACTCGACACATTCTATAAATCAATATATGTTTGGCTTGAATTAGAGAGCTGCTACATATCATATTACTTCTAAATCAATAATAAATTATCATCATCTGGAAATGATTAAAACTAGCGGAGTCGTTAGGAAACAGTTTAAAACACAATTCCATTCAAAAACTCATTAAAGAGCAAATCGAAAATCGAATCTCTACAATAAGCACCAACTATACAAAATCGATTTCCGAAATCAACTGATAAAATATATATAGGGACAGTTGAAACTTCCAAGTACCTATACTATATTATTCCCGAGAGAGCGTTCACAGTGGCCAGAGTTCTAAAGTTTATAGACTACCTAGTTTTTTATTTAGATACTATTATTCTATAATTGATAAGGTATTTATTCATGGAAAATAGACATTTAGGGAATTTTATGCTAACCAACGGCATATTGGCTCAGATTCTGGTGCGGCTGTTAAAAGAAGTGGAAACTAACATTATATTTATCGACTTATAAACCTCATTATTACCATGAAAAATTAAACATTATAATACTTAATAAGTACTAAATTTTATTTTTATTTATTAAACATGGAAATCGTATATTTCAATTGAACATTCCCAGAAATAAAAATTTAATAGGAAAAATAAATACATAATTAAGAAGTACTTATACTTATATTTTAAGTAGGTATTTAAAATGTGTATTAATTTTATACTCTCCGATTGATATCTATTATAATTTTAATGATATATTATACTTATATACCTAATGATAATAGTATTGTAATGAAAACAAAAATGGAAATTTTTAGGCAAAACTGAATTTTCAAAAAAATCGATTTACTTTAGTGGAACTCAAAAACCAATAACCTTAGATACATGAAATTTTTACCAAACATTTATATTAACATTTTCCATGTACACCGTAAAATTTTCGAAATATTTTGACTCTTGTACATTGTATAACATTAAGACATTTTTCAAATTTTGTAAATTTTTTTAAAATTATAATTAGAAAATAATTTTTCGCTCAGTAAAAAGCTTGAAAATTTAATGAAATGGTCCACATAAGCCGCTTTAATAGCAGTTCAAATATTAAAGATACATAATAATCACGACTATTTTTCACGACTATGCATTTATTTATGCTCTAAAAAAATCACTGAATATACCCTTAAAATATGCTCAATCACTTAAATATCCCTTTAAAACCGAAACATTTGGATTACCCTGTATATCAGAAAAATATTTTAGATGTAGTTGGTAAAATTATTAATTTATGTTGTAAAATCTAAGAAATATACATAAAATATGTACCTACACTATATAAAAATTAAATAAATATATACAATTTATGAAAATCGATATTTATATCTTCAAGCTAAGGCTTAGCAGCTTTTGGCTTACTGCTTGTTAAAAAAAAAAAACTAAAATCAACTGTATTTTTATGTTTCTATAATTTATTTAATAAATACTAATTATTACCCAAATTAATAGTTGTACAACATTGAATGATTAATATTAATAAAAGCATATCGGTGGTTCATAATTTCAACAATAAATGTCCAGCAGACGAGGAAATCACAACTCACACTAATTTCTTTGAATATTCTTTTAGGTTACCTACATTAAATTTTTTTTACCAATTTAAAGAAAAATTAAATTTATATTTAAACATGTATATGCAGAATATTATGCTCTTAAAATGAGAAAATAACAAAATATGCACTAATACGTGAAAAATAGTGAATATGCATAATATGAAAAAAAAATTACTGTAGACTCAAGGTATTTTGAAACATATTTCTATATCACTAAGCTATTTTTTGAATGTATATTAGAAGACATGCAAACTCCTATAAGTCTCTATAGTGACTACGTTCGAGCTTCGATGTTGTTCATTGGCCTGCGCCTTCATTTTCAATCCACCACTACGTATTTATTTTCATTAGTATAGTGTGTTAAAAAATTCTTAAAATTATATCCACTTGACTTCATTTTTTTATGTTAATGTTGAATTGCCCTCACATAAATGTTACTCTTTGCAAGGAACACCACTTTTCCTCTCAAATTGGAGAACCCATCCCCCAAGATCTACAGACTTTAATTAAAACTACAACATTGCAGAATTACAGTCAATGTATATCACTTACGTTTTCAATTTTAGAAAAACAAATTTTACCATCAATTTGTACTTGTTTTTTGACAATTTTTAAAATGTGTATGGCAAATCTTAGAAATCTACTAAACAAATTAAAGTCAAGGGCATCACGTAAAAATTGATGGTAAAATTTGTTTTAAAAAAAAACAGGTACCGGTGTGACGTACGTAGACTGATCTATAATGTTGTAGCTCGGGTTGAATGGATGGTGTCTACAGTTCTAGGGAGGGTTCGGGCTTTGACGGTACAGGTCGCAGGTGTTACTTACGTGTGCTATGTCTATCGTGCATCACGCGTACTTGCACGTGCTTGTACTATAAGTTGGGAATCGTGTGCTATCGGGCACGTGTTTCAGACGACCGAGTTCGGGTAACCTGTATATTCACCACTCATCCCCTCCCCCTCCTTAACATCGGCACAATGAATTTCAATTCGGAGCGCTCCCGGGACTCTAGCTGCAGGTTTATCAAGTGGAAGAAATAACAACAACCACTCGCACAACGTCTCCGACGTGAGAATCTCTTTCATAGTTCTGATGAATTGACGAATAACATACAATAAATATTGATTATTATAAATATTTACATACGAGCTTGTTTAGGGAAAGTCACATCCACGAAAATGAGTGGAGATGTCAAGAAAATACCTGGGAAGTCGCTCTACATTTATAGTTAATAGGTGTCGAGTTTACCTCATCAAAATATCCTGATAGGTCACTATTAAGCATTAGGGATGGACGATTTCCGGGAACAAGTAGGAATTCGTGAAAATTTTACAAAAAAGATTAACGAATTAAAATCCTACTCATCATAGGGTTGAATAATGGTGCATCGTATATTACATTTGAATATTCAGGTGGTTTAATATTTTGTAAATAGATTACTGGATTGGAGAATTGTATATAGAGATTGGTGGAGGTTGTTTGAAAAATGTGAGACAATTTTAACGAGTGATGAGATTTAGATAAGATAACTAATTTAACTAAATAAATAGGTACCCAGATTATTTATTTATTTAAACGTCCAAAGCCCAATACAGTTTAAATCGAAACATTATAACAAAATTATAAAATTATAACATAAATACAAAAATATAAGAGATTAGTGATTACCTACATTAATTTTATCCACTTTACGAAAAAATCGGAAAATGTTTCATATTATTCTATAGTAAAACAATATGTACGATTTCAATAAGTAAATGAGACATATTTAATATATTATATTTATGAATATGTAATAATATTAAATATGGGTAGTGTTGTTGTACAATCATATTACATGATTATAAAATAATTAATCTTTAATAAAATTAAGAAGTGCAGGTCAAATTATATATTATAGTTCATAGATTAATATTTTAAATTAAATAAATATTATGATCTCCTTAATCAGCTACAACTATAAATTTAAAATTATTTTTATATCTATTTAATTATTTTTAATTATTATTAATTTGGTTTCAGGATTACTTTTAGAGTTATTCGATTCACAAAAGAAATCAATCTATTGATTATTTGATACATGTAATATGTCTATGAAATTGAAGGTGTTAATTTTGTTTTCGATTGGTGCAGTACAAGTTACTCGTTCGGCAATTATGGCACAAGATCCTACGGTGTAAGTGTATATCAATAAATAATGAATGTAATTATAAAACTACTACACAGTGGCTGTAAGTGCGGGTTAAAACGTGCCCTATATTATGTCACAGGCACTACTATGCGGCAATTATACCGTATTGATTGTAAATAATAATTTATAAATAATTACAATAGTATTATTTAATCAAAAGTTAAACGCCATACCATGAATACTTGAATATTCTAATGTAAAAGCTTAAATGTACATTTATAATAGCAATAGGAACGTAATATTAATATTTCTATCCGCGTGGTATTTTATACAGCTGTGATGTTATGTTTTCCATCACTCTGAAATAAAATTCTACTAAGTGCACAAAAAAATTGCACTGTAACCAATTTTTGTTATGATTAAATATTTAGGGCTATGCTTTTTTTAATCATTTAAAATTCAAATTTTGACAAAATGTATTAAATTGAAAATGTACTCATTATTTTATTGTTAAAAATGTATAAAACTATAAAATAAAAGATTGACAATTTTTAACAAGGTTCCTCGTAAGTAATTCATTCTGTGACCAAAATCTAAAAAATACACAAACAAAGTTTTTTATGGTTATTTAAGTAAAAATTTGGATCAAATTACATATTAAAAATAAAAATAACGGTTTTAGTTATTTTGTTATGATTTAAAAATATTATTAAGTTAAAAAAATATTAGTTTTTGACAAAATTAACCTAAAAACATAGTTCAAAAACATCCACAGCACACAAAATAATGATACCTCATTTGAGTTTTTCTACATAGTGGTTATGGTTTTAAAGAAAAATTGCTAATTATAATATTTTAAGTAAACAATATTTCAAAGACAATCTCATATTTGTTTTTTTGATACAGTCCATAATAAAATTGTTACAGTTATATTTGAAAAATAGTAAAATAAATAATGTATTAAAGATATCTTAAAATTCGTAAAGAAATACTTTAAATATTCAAAAATGGATATGAGATATATAATATGTATTTCCTATAATACACTAATAATTACTTATTCATCCATTACAGTCATTTTAACTATTACTTTTAACATTTACTATTTACTTACTTAGCTAAACCATTTCGTACAAAAATCAACAGTTTGATAGTTTCATTTAATTATTATTTTTTTTTTTAATATTTAGATCAAGTTTGTTGTTATTTGATTTTCAAAATGCGACCAATTTAAATAACTGGACAGAACAATCTGACACTGTGAGATCAGCAGGAATGTCAAAAGCAACATTCGATTTATACAAAACTCAAACTAAACAGTCTGCAATCTTATTCACATTGCTAAATCCACTACCAAACGGTGCATGTTTCAGTGGCGTCCGTACATTAACACAATTGAACCTTGATGGATATGAATATATATCATTTGTATGCAAAACCACGGGAAATGCCACTACATATAAGATTATTCTAAGGCACAATAATTTGAATGACGAGCCAAACCCAACTTTTGAACAAAAATTTAAGGTATAATAAATTATATACAAATGTAGATAACTTAATAATATATTTATTTCACAACTATTCTTAATTATATATATCTTATTTACAATGATTTTAACAGGTGAACCCCGATTCAGATACCACAGTAAAACTGCCAATTTCACAATTCAACCCCTATTATAGGGGTAAAATAATAATAGATGGGCCTACACTAAATGTGAAAAATATTACTAACTTTGGTATTCAAGTAGCTGGAGGTGTTTATGAAAATTTTAAACAGTCAGGCTTATCGTCATTAGTGGTGGATCAAATATGGGCAGAGCCCTACGGAGATGCAAACTGAACCATTTTATGTCATCAACTATACAATACGAATATCTGTCAACCATTATATTCATTAGACATTATCTAAATTCTAAATAATTATCTACAAGTGTACGATTACAACATATTGTAAATGCTACTTACTCAAGCTTAAGTCAACTACTTAATTAAAATAACTAAATCTATCGTCATAAATACCAAATTAATTTCTTACAACAAAATATTGTAATGTAATTAATAACCTATTCATAATATATAATATTGTATCGTTATTTATTTTCTACCTTCATACATTTTGTTTTGTAACGTGAGAGGTATGGAGCTGACATTACATTATTTTGTTAAAGTTGTTAGTTTTATAAAAATGATTTATTAATTTTATATTAATTTTTATCTCGGTCCATATTATATCTACATAGTAGTTACCGTCGCCATCAAACTCGACGACCAACGATCGAATAATTAATGATAATAATTATATTGAAATGTATTTTTATATTAGGTAGTTTAACATAATGTATACGAATAACTTTTACAGTATTTAACTTGCAATACTTCTGTATATTTATAATACAAACCAAAAAGTTTAATATTTGTTTTATGTTATACATAGTAATATTTTATGTAGCACATATTGTTTACATAATATGTATACATATTGTATAGACAACAAGAAAAGTACTATAATTTGTAAATATAATTAAATATTGTTAATTATTTTATAGATAATCTTTGAGTTTTAATTGTGACAGCAACTCAATAGATGACGTATATGTACCTAGACAAAAATAAATAATTTATATACAACTATGTGCAACTTATATTTTTATATTTTTCTATGTGTATTACATAAAGTATTAAATATATGGCATATACTATATATGATTCAAAATCAATAAGATAACCCAAGAGATTTTAAATTTTTATAATAGCATTTTTTATATCCAACTTTAAAAACGTGAAATCTACTTTCTCTGTTACAGCTAATCTCAAATTTAGCTGATTTTTGCTTTTTTTTATGTTTGTTATTGTCATGACAGAGCTTATATGAAAGGCGATTTTAGGAAAATAAACCGGAAAAAAAGGAAATCTGGATTGTCAAATAAGAAATAGTGTCGCCATCTGTCCAGGAAAAAAAATTAAATGATAAGTTCCATAAGACTTTTTAAGTTTTGAACACTTTACAACGAGTATTAAATAACGAAATGAACACAGTGTATATACAACTATATAGAGTTGGCAATTTTAACAGACCACAAATCCTTGGCACGGGCCACGCCGGGTGGGGTAGCTATAGTATCGTATAATTTTCAAAATATTTATCGACAATTTAAAATGTTTGATGAATATTTTAATTTTAGTATTTTTTTTACAAATGTTGATAAACATAGAAAATGTTAAACATCTCAAAAACAGTCAAAATATTTTGAAAATGATACCTTCTATGGAAAATTATATAATAATAAATATTTAGTAAAAATTTCAAGTATAAGTTATTCATTTTTGAAGAACTATAAAATATAAAATATAATTTGAGGAGAAGTACATGGTAAGACAAAGGATGAATATCCAATATCATAAAAATTTGAACTTCAAACTCCCATAAAAAATATTTATGGAATTACCCAATTATTATAATATTTCAAATAATAACTTTAAAGCTAAACCCATTATAATCATTATATCAAACTACCGTCGACTGATGTAAACGAGTTTGTAGTTAAACAGCTTAAGAAGAATCTAAATATTTTAAATAATTCATTGCACCTTTTAAGTAAAAATATAATATACATAGGTAGACACGTAGTTACGTAGTTATAGTGCGATTTGTAGCAACTTTCTAGTTTCGACAAAACATTATTTCTAAAATATTATTACACCCACTGAAAAAAATATGAAGCACTTTGCATGAAATGTTTAATGAAATTTAAAAGAAATATATTATTTAATTTAAAAGTTTATCTACCAAATAACTTATACATTTTCGTGATTTTGAAGAAATTATTATTTTACTATTTCTATTTTTACGTTGGTTTTTGTTAGTTTTTCCCAACTGTTTTGAAAAATACTGGGAATCCTTTACCTTTGATTCTTCATAGTACCAACTGGGTCTTTGAACTATTATGAAATGTTACCATATTTTTTAAAAATATTATGTTTCAGAACCTATAAGTAATAACTAACTAATTATTAAGAACCTTGTATTTAATGTACAAGCATTAGCTATAAAATTGTTCGTGAATTTTCTAGATGTTCAGTAATTTTTTTTATTGGTATATGAACAACTTTTGTCAACTTGTATTCAATTTTTAAGCTTTTTGACTTAACTAAACATAACAAACAACAAAAGGATAAAAAGTTTCAAATGTATTTACTTGTTTTGAGCTTTTTATTTTAGACATTTGACATTTTCGTTACTTTCTGTAAACGTCGATATAATTGTTTATGAAAAGTAACTAAGAAAAGAAGAATTAACTAAGAAATAAGTACTTATGAAAATTAAGTGTAAGAATCTTCATCGGTTTTATTATAGCTATTTAAAAATACTAAAGATACATATAAGCAAGATAATTTTATAAGTATTCCAGAAGTTCACATTTTGACGAAATTCGATATTTAAACGACCAACAACGATTTAAGTTATTTTGTTGTAATTCAAAAATATTCATTGTTGAGATTTGACTCTTTTATGTATAATATTATATTTTATATACACAACAACGACATTTTCAAACAAAATAGATTAATTGTATACTATCTGATATCTTTATTAACACAATGTACCTAACATAATAGAGTTAATTCCTAAAATAATTAATAGAAATATTTTTTTTGATAATGGACTGACACTTGACCATCTCCGTGTTAAACGTTTTTCGTATGAAATAATTGATTATTAAATTCAAACATAGGTACGCACGCATTACAGAGTGTATTACAGAGCGACCTACTCAACGACGAGGTAAGTACTCGACTCCTACTATACGTCTATACAGCATACACATTATACACACACGTATAGGAAATTGCCTACATTTGACTCCTTAAAAGTTCAAGTCAGTCCGTACACCAAATAACAAAATATCCCAATTTCGTGTTCCAGCAACTTTTTTATTTATAAAAAAAAAGTAAAATACTTTTTAAGACATTTTGATCTTTATGCTAACCTTTATTGCTAATTACATCAATAGCATTATATCTTTATAACTTTTTTTATTGTGTATACTTTAGCATATTATATATTTATTATAATTTAATAAAAATTATTATATATATTATATTGTATTATATTATATTATAATTTTTTAAAAATTATTATATATATTATATTGTATTATATTATATTATATTATATTATAATGTACCTAACTCAAGAAGTAATATTTTTGATAGAAGCTTTAAACATTTCACTACAACTGAAATTAATATTTTCTGTACTCAATACAATTTTAAAAATATTTAGACAATTTTAAGTTATTTATAGAGGGTTGTAGAATTTTTGATTTTTTTACATTTTTAGGCTTGGTTAAAAAGCTTGAAAATACAAACATTAATGCAAAATTCTACATAAATTTATCTTTTAGTAATTTGAAAACAATTTAATACATAGGCATGGTTTTTTTTAAACATTTTAAGTTCAAATTTTAACGAAATTCGATATTAAACAATTAATAACGATTTTAAAAACTTTAAAGTGTATATGTAGTATGATGTTTTAATATTCTAATATGCGCAATTACACTTTCAAAATATTAAGATTAATACATCTTAAGTAGGTACCATTTATACAATATTACTAATAGTAAAATAAATGTGTATAATATCAACATAAATAAATGATAAATATTATAATATGAACTGAGTAGTTAATAATTAGGCTGACCATCTCTGTTCAGAACTGTACCTATGCAATGGTTTATCATTGAATTAAAATTTAACATATCCATTATTGGAACTTATTCGATGAATACTCAACACCGCTACTACAGTAAAGCTACTTCCTAGACATAACGAAGGCTGGCTTAGCCACTTCCAATGACTTTAGTCATCATGTTTATATAAATTATAAACAATTCACAAAACTTGTAATTTATCCCGTATGAAAAAACCACTGAACAAATTATGGTATATTGGAAAGAAGAAGTCCGGATTGGAATTTTTCCATCACTAATTAATAGCATTTACAGACTATATCTGTTAACCAAATATATACAATGTTACAATTTAATTTAAGCTTTGTATTAATTTTATTTGATGTAGTATTTATCTTATTAATAGTTATATTATATTTACTGTAGTATTATTTTAATATATCTTATACGCTTATTAGTGTACTTGAGCCAATTATGGCGATTACTTTGGTAAATAAATAAATTATAACAACAGTAAGTTGTAGTGTTATGACTTAGTGAGTACTTAAATTGAATCTGGTACTTGATAGTATTATACAGTAATGTATTACCTATAGTTTCGAAGAATTAAATCATCCTAACAACCGGGATTGCTTAAGTGTTTGAATTACCTATATGTATTAACAATAGGTACAATATATAGGTACAGGTATTCAGAGATGTATAGTTGTTCAATTGTAAATTTGTAACCTTGATTTTATTGTTCACCAAGCCACTAAATACTTATTACGTATTCATTTTCAATCAAAGTTTAAAAACAAAAATTTTTCTTATTTTTGTTAACGTAGGTACTCGTATATAATAGGTACCTGCTGAGTTTTATCTTAGTACACGGTAAGTAAAATATTTGATTATAAAATATGGAAACCGACATGGACACATTTTTTTGTGAATCCGGTATCAGTCTTGTTATGGTCTATTATTGCGATTTGCGAATACTACAGTATAAAATCTAGGAATGTATGAGTATTTTTTAGCATTTTGATTTTTGATGAACAAAATAAATAACTATTACAATTTGATTGTTGGGAGTACCTATATTTATTATTTGAGTGTTTTCCATTTTCCAGTTATTGTTGAGTCTTGAGGGTTGGCACACTACGTAATGTTATAATATTATAATTTTGAGTACTCGATCAATAAACAATATACGAACATTTGTATTGGAAATACATCACGAGGATAAAGTAAATAAAAAAGTGTTAAATAATTCAAATATGATGTAATATCTTTTAGTCATATTCATAATATTCATATAGGTACTCGTATCGATTAGGTAGGTACTCCGTATACCCATATACATATACTTCATGCCACTCGAGTTTACAATTTTATGTACTCGACTCACCAGTCGACAGGTGCTCCAGAACTTGGTGACAAAAAAAAAATGTGAAAATATTCTCTCGGGTTCCTTTGTGTGTGGTATGTCTTTCATTGCCACCCTCCCATAGTGAAGGCCCAGCCAGAAATATTCGTTGTATACGTGTTTTATAATTCGCGCTGCTGCAGCTCTAAGCGTGGGCTGGTTCCTTACTGCATAATTTTATCATAATATATTATGCATATATAATAATATATTTGTGTTTACCTACCTACGTCCTACTTCCCTATTTCTTTACATTATTATTTTGAATGAGCATTGATTAATTGGTCTCCAGTGAGTTAAAATAATTTCTATGGGTTTATGTTTACAATGTCATATCAATAAATCATCTTATTATTCTTAATATCAAATCAACTTATAAACTTAAATAGCTTAGTAAATAACTTTTTTTCGGTTGAATTAAAAATAATCCATCAAGATAAATATTTTCGTTTTTATGGTTTTTATTAATATTAAAATTAAATAACCCAAAATTACATGTATTATATATGTATAAAAACAAACATTACTGTTAT